CGAGTTAACAACCTATGAAAAAATGGCCAATTTATGCGTATGTGTGTGCGCAAATTTCTTGAATGACGTCGCTTCACTACTTGAACCAAATGAAACCGTCTTTCATCGGAAAAAGTTCATTATTATACACAGTTGCTCAATCTGTTCACAGAATAAATAACACAGAAGTTAGCAGAAGGCGGCATAAATACATACAACCGGCAGAACTCATCAAAATACGTGACTAGATCGCTTTGTAATTCATCACCATGACTAGACAAAGAGGAGAGGAGCGATGACCACACTTATAACATACACTCGAGATCCCTGAGATCGGGTAGGCGTGGCCGCATGTTTCAACTTACCCTTAAGGCGTCTACGCTTCTGATGCGATATTTTCATCTCGACACAATCGTTGTCGTGTCTCTGTCCAATACAGAACAAGATGACAGTTGTCCCAGACTGGAATATTCCACTAGTAACCAGTTCCTTACAGTGTTCGAATGCTCCGCCTACCCGATCTCAGGGATTTCGAGTATACAATGCGTCACCCAAAGCCGAAAAAGTAGTGATTTAAATACATAAGAGATTCTTCTCGTAGTATAACAAGAACGTATTTTACACGAAAATACCGCGATTTGCGTGTTATCAAGCCATGAGTGATTGAGTTTGAAACATAACTATATTTGTCTTATACCATTTGGTTTCCTTCTGGGTTACCTTAGCAGCTTTTGGTCTGTACAGTACGGCTCCTTCCCATTCTTTTTCCCTTTTGTGCCAGCGGAGACAAAAGTTTTTATCAATACACCGTAAAGAAAGTGATCAGTACAAAGGAGAAAAGGTCAGGGTAACATGGCTAAGGTCCCAGGACATCTGACCTCGTTATCCTATTTCTTCTTTCTGATACTCCTCTCTAGAGGTTTAGCAAAACAAGGGGACAAGAGAATGTCTCCACAGATTCTTGCAGCGCGAGAAATTTTGTTTGTAACAATTTCTGTTACCGTACAATACAGTCTCATTCGCTGTGAATGAAGGGATGTGTCAGTAAAACTTGGCCTGCCGCTGGCCCGTTCTTTACCAGTTGTTGAAGCGGAACACGAGAATAAGTGGTTGAAAACGACTGATACGTTAAGTCTTATCCAGGGCACATAATCAATTGGGGATTTCAGTCGAGTCTGTACGACCCCCCTCCGGCCCTCTGTCCCTCGTCATCAAATCGAGTCGTCGAGCAGGAGGGCGGGATAGGCGGTGGGGGGGGGGTAAATAGCACATGTGAAACAGGAGAAGCCGCGAGACAATACGACCCACCTCCCCCCCCCCCCCTCCCCCTTCTACCAGTTTTCAGATATTCCCCAACTTCCTGACAGGTTTTTCAAAATTTCCCGAAAACCTCCCCACTTTTTTCCAAAAGTTTGTCGAGGGAGGGGGCGGGGGGGTATGTAGTACGCATGAAACAGGAAAATCACAAAAAGTCAACCACCACTCCTAACCACCCTAAGGCCAAAAAGTGGGTAAACGACCGCTCCCATTCTCAGTTCGGCAACTCCACAAGCATCATTTTCTTTGGAGGAAAAGATCACTAAGCTACATGGGCAGGGGGTAGAATGACTACTGTAGAAGAGACGTGATCGAAGTTCCATAAAACACTGGATGAGAGCAGCGGTTCAGTTTCACTAACAGTGATGGAACTTGGTATGTGCACATTGTAGTGCAGTTCGATTCGTCCAAAACCAAATTAGTAATAGAGAGGGCGGCTCGTTTCGAGCGGTTTTCGCGGCCCACGCACCGTCACCGTCACTGCTTTCAATTTTTGTGGTGAAATCAGAGGTTACCGTAACCATGGCTACCGTGCTTGGAAGGAGGTTAGGTCAGACGTGGATAAATGCATGTAAAAAAGATGAAATATTCCAAACTCAATTTTTTTTTACAAAATGGTACATTTTGACGGGAAACTCGGCACATAACATTGCCTGTCTTTCATAGACAAAGATATTCCCTTTCGTTTTGTCAAGAGTGTAGAAGACTTTGCAGACTGGAATCGCCACCAAGCAATGCCGTTGCTGAAAACACTCGTATTCGTAAACAGAAGGATATACAGTGAGAGCGGGGCAAAAAAGACCTTTTCTTCCTCGAGTTTCAAGGCGATATAAGTTACACTTTATTAAATTCTGATTGTTTCCCCCCTGTAAAAGCATCATCATGTTTATGAATTGTGGAACCATTCTATAAAATGCGAATTTTAAAAGGGTCTGAGGAATACAAGGAAATGAGCGGAATTTTGAACACCTTCGACTTTCATGCGAAGGGATTCGTGCTATATATCCAGCGACACATCTCAGTCTGGACACGATGCCGCAGTGCGACAATTGACAGTCTCAATAAGACACCCCCTCAGAAGTAGGTCTCAATAGGGCCGCCCCCCCATCCAGAGGCGACCGATATTTACAGCTCGCTTCTCTTCTCAGCATTCAGCCATTTTGCTGTTGCTGCGACACGGAGATCTGTAAATTCCTAGAGTGAATAAAAAATGAATTGGTTTGCTGTAATGGGCGGGGTTTAAGCTGAGGGTAGTATGTGGTTTATTACTCCGATACAACTCACATCGGCACGACAACCCTGGCCGCTGGGTTTCTCAGCCATCAGCTATTTTGCTAGTGCCAGTCGACACGGAGATCTGTAAATTCTAGCGAAACTAAGAAATGGTTCAGCTGCTGAAGGGAAGGGGTTTAGCTGAAGAAGGGTTTTAGTTGTTTCCCTGATTCATTACATATACAACCCCTCCCCGTCCCACTTACCCTCTCCCCCTCCCGCTCGACTACAGTTTCTCTGTGCGTGGATGGAAGCTGGGAGAATTTAGGAAGATGCTAGGCATGTTGGAGTATGGGGAAGGACGAGAGGGGAGCAGGGGAGTGGGACGACATTTTAAGAGTGTTGTATTCTGCAAAATTTTTCCCTAACGGCAGGACTAGCCTCAGTCCGGTGTCTGCTTCGGCTCCTGCAGTAAACCTCCTACGTTCCACTACACTAAGGGGAGAAAAATTTTTCTCAGTAAAAGTCACTGATTGATTAATGAAGTTTTTTATCGTCTGGTAGATGGCTCAAGTTTCAGCTTCTTAGAGAGTCCGACAAAACAATGACTTTACCCGAATCACGCGACACATTCCCATGCTGTCTTGAAGATGTTGAGCGCAAAACTGCCTGCTTTTCTCATTCACCTCATCAACGTAATACTTCGAGATAGGAAGTACCTGGAATGAAATGCAGTTCTTCGAATGAAAAATGTTTACGGCGGATGATTATGGTTGAAGCACTGCTCAGGGTACTGGAATTTGAAGAGGACTCGGTTACAACACCCCATCCTCTAATTGTAAGTAAATTCAAATCGCGCATATCTGTGTCATGACTTTGTTCTAACAACTTGTTTTGATTAGTTTTGTTAATTGGTTGTTTACGACGCAGCCCGCTATACGACTGTTATCACCACTCAGTACTTGTGAGTCACGCGACTTATTCTCATGTTATTCTGCAGATCCTCGGCACAAAACATGCTGATGAGCAGTGAGCAATTTATATGTCAGCTGGCGCAGAGGTGGCTGCCAGTTTGCGGGCGCGAGTGAGGGTGTGAAATTCATCTTCATTTGCGTGCCGGCTAAGCACCAGTGAAAGTTACTGGCTGGATGTTGTGCACCAATACCGCGGAAAACTATGGTCGGGTTTGCCATTGCAGCCTTCTAATGAGTATCTGAAGCTAAATCTGCTATTTCTGATAGTCGAAACGGCGGGATGTCCTTCGCCACGCGCCTCCCCCCTCCCCCATTCATTCCCTGACAGAGAAACTTTGGCAAAAGATGTGGGGATACACAGGCGTGATAGTTGATTGGACGTGACAACATCTACCCTCCTCCCTACTCCTGCGCGCTGAAATTGCTTTCGTCGACATCTAAATATCGCAAATATTTTGGAGAAAGGTGCTGAAGGTGGTGTGGCAATCGTGAGAGAAGATGATACCGAAAGAAGGGAAGTTTCAGGGAGGCTTGTTTATACGCAATAGTGCAGTCGGTTTCAAGGGATTAAACAATGCTGGGGAGGGGCGCTCTGCTTTCTCAAAGAAGTACATTCTGGCTCATTTGAAAATCCAAAGCACAGTATTACGGCCGGTGGTTGCGTAGAGCTCAGAGGCCACATCGTCATTGACAGCCTTCCAGTTACTGCTAGAACTTCTAATGGAAATACATCAGTGGAGGCAAAGGGGGGGGGGAATTTGAAGGGATCACATTCCTGTTCGCGGTTTTTCGATCAATACCCCTCGTCATCCGGGCAGTTGATTAGGGCGGTCGTCAACGGGCCGCAGCGCGTGCCAGGAACTATTTGCTTTTTCCAGGCTAATTTAGTCATTTTTTCCAACTTTTCACTGTTTTGGCTACTTTTTCCCAGATTAGCAGCTCCTTATCTTCACAAGGTGGAAAAAATGACTAAATTAGCCTGGAAAAGCAAATAGTTCCTGGCACGCGCTGCGGCCCGTTGACGACCGCCCTAATCAACTGCCCGGATGACGAGGTTATATTCATGGTTACTTAGAAACTCACATATGGTTCCTCTTCACAGAAGATCTCCTTGCCTTTCACTTGCGACAGTAGCTTTTCCGGCACCTCAGATTCCGTGAAGAATTCAGAACGTTCGGTTTTACTGAAAGTATTCTGATTTTCACCTCATAAGAACCCTGCTTCACGCACATTCCACGAAGATCGCAGAGAGGTGTTGCTTGAGCCACTTTGCTCTTTCTCGCTCCCCTATTTCTCATCCCAGGTATGTAGAGGCCCATCAATGAGAAGGAGGAGTAGCCCAGGTGGCTCCGCCCACACGATCAGCGCGGAATGTGCCTATATTCGTCTCCAGAACATAAAAGAAATCACAAGTTCGCAAAGAAGACTAGGAAAGAGCGCGAACTACAACACACCATCGTTTATGAAAGTGGAATTCACTCACAAGTAGACTTTGATTTTTGTGTAGTTGCGAACGCTGCCCGAACCGCAACAGGCTGTGCACGGTTTTTTGCCGCCGCCTTTACAGTGATGGCATTCCTTCACACCACGTCCATGGCACATGTAACACAGGTCATGCGTTCCTGAAATCAATGGGTTCTGCTCGAAAGTACAATAAGCAAGGCAAGAAGACGATGGATTACGTAGGCCAGAAAAAGGTGATGTGCGGTTGGGATTAATGACGGTAGG